TATTATTATTATTATTATTATTATTATTATTATTATTATTATTATTATTATTATTATTATTATTATTATTATTATTATTTTGGTACAAAGGAGGATCTTTACAAGTATTATTGACTTAATGTTCTAACGCAATTAATTTGAATTCTTATGGGACTTGCAATTAATTTGAATTCTTATGGAATAAGTCGGCAATATATCTTTTCTTCAAGTACCTTAATTTTAGAGACACTCAACACCAATATGTGAAAATTTGTTTAAACATTTTTTTTTTCAAACAGAAAAATTATGTCTCAATGAATTAATAATGAAAAAAGAAAAAATGTGGATGAATGAATGGAATANNNAAAAAAAAAAAATAGGTGGATAAATAAAATGAATGTATGCAGGTGTAATTATTAATGTTGATGTGATAAAAAAAATATAAAAATAATGATTAGAATAAACAGTTAGAAATATATGAATGGGTGGACAATTAATTCTATTAAATTAAAAATAATAGTTGACTTATATTTTAAAATTATACTATGAATTAAGGGCATGCAGTTCTTGAAATTAATTACTTTTTATGACATGGCAAGTCTTTTAAAATTAATTTCGTACACAATTACTATAATAATAATTTAAATATTTTTTTTTTTTCTAATTAATTGATCATAATTAACCAAGATGGTAATAAGAGTTACATTATTGCAAACCATGAATCAGAAACAAATGGAAAATTGCATCCGACGGTCGGAAATCAGGCGGCAAATTTAAGCCAATTTTAACCTAATCCGACGGTCCCTAATACTCTGCGTCCCATCTAAGCCAAATCCTTTCTCGGCTCAAACTCTACTTATATACCACTACCCGCCAGCTCCATAACAATCTCCCCAGATCAGATTAATCTATATCTCTCTCCATATCACATTTTGATGGTAAGTTGGGTTAATCTTTTGGAAGAAAATTTAACGCAGATTTGTAATTGCTGAATGTATTGAATGCAGGCTCTTCCAAATCAACCGACTGCGGATTGCCCAAGCTTCAAGCTCGTGCTTGTTGGCGATGGCGGCACAGGTAAAATCTCGCTTCAATCGGTGTTCCTGTTTCTATTTGGAAGTGATTTTGACCTTTGTTGCGCATATTTTGATATATTTGGTGCAGGGAAAACTACTTTTGTCAGACGCCATCTTACTGGGGAATTCGAGAAGAAATATGAACGTAATTTTTTTTTTTTTTTT